GGAGTGGCTCTCCTCTCTCTGGCTGCAGGTGGCTTTGCTGCACCAGGCTCCTGTGAGACTGAGTGTCTGTGAGAAGTGGGAGGGGCTTCTTTAAAATGGCTGCTTGCTGAGGACAGTAACTGCCAAGTGTTGCAGCTTTCATCTGGGCTCACCAGTCTCCAGTAACACAGGAAAAGATGTCACAAGCCGCTTTTTTGGAGGGAAAAGAAACCTTATAATTATTAACTTTCAGATTACTGACTGTCACATTTTAATGTGTTTTTTCACTGAGTGTTGCTATTTTTTCCATATTTTTTCCACATTCATGAGCGTTCTTTGGTATTTTCACAGCTGTTGTGCAGGAACAGATCTTTCTTATTAATGAGGTTAACCATTTTTTCTGTTATTAACAGACTTGTACTTTTTTAATATATTAGTGCTAAACATTGTTGCCATTAATGAATTACTTTAGCATATTTACTCAGCCAGGTCCCTCCAGCTCTGTGTTTCTCTCCTTCAGGCCCTCTCATAGGATCAAGCCCATATTATAAAGAGCCCAAATATTCAGTGTCCAACCCCTCTAGAGGCTCCCAGGCCGCTTTTGAGGGCCCCAGGAAGACTAGAAAATTCCATCAGAAATGTTCTAGTTTTTTATATTTGGCTCATGTGCTGATCAATATTTGGAGCTTGATTAGTTAGACCACATTTAGCAAGATATTGCCCCTTTGTGCCACTTAGAAAATAAATATATCATTTTGCTTCTTCGCCTTTCTTTTTCAGTTTTCAGTACATAGCCTCTCGTTAACAGGTCAACGGGTGTCACCTGTGTCTCCCCTAATTGCTGATTGAGTGCACCTGGGGTTCTCTCCATGTCTTTAAATAGTGTGCGTTTCTCGTTAACTTGTGCCAGTCGGTTTAATAATTTCGGCTCTGACCTGTTATTCATCATTACTAAGGCAAGTCCATTTTTCACAAATCCGATTATTATAAGATTATTTTAAATATCTTTATCTTTAAAATTCCTGTTTTGTAGACAATTTTTTTGTCGGCATCATTCAAGAATTGTACGTTCCTGCCACATGAACTGCAGAATGCTGTTTCACATAGCAGATGATTTCCACAAAAAGGACAATACATTTGAATCTGTAATAAAAAAACATGACCAGGAGCTTTATTTTCTCATACTCCCCTTCTACGTGACGGGAAACTGTGCGTGCACATGGCAGTATGTCTTCCACCTGCACGTTACTTCCATATTTGGCTCCAATGTCCAGCAGCTCCTGTGCTATGTTAGTAAAGCCTTTCCCCTCTACCACAGCAAAGGCTGTGAGATCTTGGCTGCACATGCGAGCAATTTTGTCGGTCAGATGAGACTTGACACCTGACGGCAATTTTCGCTTGATGAAGGAAGCGACGCTTGGCTGATTCTTTCCCGAATTTGCCTTGCAAGTGTGCCTCTTCAGACCGCTCGTCCCTAAATCACTTGCCTACTTGACTAAGACTAAACATGTCTTACAAGCAGCGTACATCGTGCTAGCACCATCACATTCTACTCTCAGAAACGTATATAATATTTCAGACTTTCCGACCAGTTCTGTGAACTTAATAGACATTTCATTACTTCTGACTTTGCGCTGTAAATAATTTTTTGCCACATCGACTTCTCCGTGGCTGTTAGCTCCCTCCAGCGTGATAGACTTTGTGTCGGTCTCGTAGATGCTTGCCCGAATTAGCAAAGTAATTATGCTAATCATACCGCAAGAAAAAATAGATAAATTACACACTCGTATAGATAGATAGATTTTTTGAGAATTACTTATTTCAGCGTTTTAGTAGGCAATGTCTCCACTTTTAATGTTTTTATTTCCTCACGTATTTTGGAGAGTTAAAAAACTAATTTTCTTTCAGATGTACTGTCCATTTTGTGGAACTGCCACCATAAATTCTGCAGACATTTGTTGTCAATGTGGCAGAAACATAAAATTTGTCCAAGATCATGCAAACAAAGCCCAAGATGAGAGGAACACTACCACTGCAACTCCCGATGTTCAACCAAGCACCAGCACAGGTAAACCGAAGCATGGGTTATTTATTTCAGCATGCTTAAGTGTTAGCATTTTAAACCATCTGTAGATGCAGGTACGATCATTGCAGTATTGGTCGTACCTGCAATTAATAATTAATGCATTTAAATTATAACTAAAGTGCCAATCGTGTATTTTTTTATCAGGAATTTCAGGTGTGGAGTGTTTCATGAACTTTAGAGCTATAAAAGAGAGGGAAAGAAATACATTTTTTACCAAGAAGCATCAGAACAAAACACAGAAGGGAAATAAACTGAAGGTATGCCTTTAATTTAGTGCAAACACAAACTGGAAATTACATACTTCATCAAATAATTTAATTTGATTGATTAAATTTTGTCTCTCCCCAGATTAATGTTGGGCTTATGAGGATGCAGGGAGATTCCCTTAAGACAGTGAGAGGGAAGTTACTTCCAGTTGAGATTCACCCTGAGTGGGCATCGGAACAAGTGCTTGCTGCTGCTGTAAAGAAGCAAAAGGATTTCAATATAGACCTGAGAGATTGTGCCCCTGTCTTGTTGTATCCTGATGCAAGGGAGGTTAAGAACATCCCAGGAACAGACATTCCTTTCACAGTGCAAAAGTACAAGGAGGCAATTGGAAAGCCTTACCAAAGAATTACGCTTTACATTTGCCCTGTTGAGGAATTTGCAAAAAGCTGTAAGTGCTTTTGATCTACATTCCAAATAGTTTGAAGATCAATTTTTCTATAGTCTTATAGTTAAAATGGCAAAATTTCCTCCTATATCCAGAATGCTGTGCCTGATTAATTCTAGCTATGATGTCATCTAAGGAAGCAAAAGGATTTTCCTCTTTACAAAACCTACCTCCCTTTTGTAAAGACATTTTATTAATTGCAAAATTTAGCCTTGCAAAAGAAAATGTATTATTTATAGTACACATTTATAGTATATTTCTTTTAACTGGTTGTTGAAATGATAGTAACCATTTCCCTTTGGTTAATATCAACGAACAAAACTGTGTGGTTCATAGTAATAGAAGACTTACTGTGTTTAAATAACTTCTAAAAGATAAATAGAAATCTGCTGCCCAGTGACACAGTTGGTGGCATTGTTGCCTTGCAGCAAGAAGGTGTTGGTTTCAATTCCTTGCCTGGAGTCTTTCTGTATGGAGTTTGCATGTTCTCCCTGTGGGTTCTGACCAGGTGCTCTGGGAAAAGGGTATAATAAAATGAATGGATGGATGGATAAAGAAATCTGAATATACTGTCCTGCTAATTGTACAAAATTCTATTTGTACAACTGATACTAAAATTTTCTTGTTGTTTAACATGTAAATGAAGTTATGAAAAATTCATATGCAACTAAACAATTTTTGGAATTACATAAAAATAATAATTAAAATTAAAGTCAAAATAATCATTGCTTTTCAAAGGTTTCAGTGGACAGAGTTCAAGTGATGATGACAGTGTGGTTCATGTAAGGTTGCCATCTCAAGATAGTCCACTATCTGACACTGTGGTCAGTCTGCATCTTTATGACATTTCTCCTGAATTGAATTACTTACACTTTCCTTTGATAAGATAAAACCTGTCTTTTATATGTTGTACATAGGTGTGGGATGGTCCAGATGAAGCAAGCACTCCAAGACTGGAGAAAATTTTGAATGGGTAAAATACAAATTACTGTTTGCTTCATATTTTGTTGCAGAAACTGTTATATCCACTTTATAGCTATGATCATTTTTATTTTCAGGCCTTCTGGACACACAGAACATGGGTCTGATCAGGTAAGATTGAACTCAATCCCTTTCACAGTTCAATATGTAAACATTACATACCATAAAAGATTTTCGAAAATTCACAAAGACAATCACCCAAGATGAGATACATGACATTGTGTTAGCTAAGTCTGTATGGTATTGCCACTACCACAACTGGAGTACTAATTTATGTTAAATTAGGATGGAGGAAACACCAACGTCCAGGAGCATCCCATGTCCTCAGAGGGCCAGAACCCCTTCTATCGGTAGGTTGTGTGAGCACATGTCAACACATTTACTGAAATGATTTATAGAAATTACAGATAACAAGAACTGTAACTAACTGAATTATTAATCTCAACTAAAATGTCTTCTTACATTTCCAAACTGAAAAAAGTCATTGAAAAAAAAAGTTTTGCACCTGTCCAGTTAAAACAGCAACTGGTACATTTGTGAGTGCATTTACTATCTCCACCCAACTGGCACACACATCACAGAGAACCAAGCGCACCTATCCCTTTCACTTCGGCCCATCTGAACTCTATAAGGTAACTTGGCAGACCTGTGCTCACAATGATCTCTTCAGACAAAGAGCCTCAGCTTCAAGCTTCCACAAAGACACTCTGGTAGGAAATGGACATTATATCATTTAATCTGCATTCAGAGACCAAAATTAGCCCTTGATTCAATGGCTTTTATGTGTTTGGAATATAGTTTATTTGTTTGTTCATTCACTGTTAACTTAAAAGTAAATTGTTAACATTACTTGACACATATTTAATTAGTTCATTGTGATCTGTAATTGATTTTATTTAATTTATTTTTTGGTTTTCAGCCTGCTCTGTGACTACTTATGTGAAGTCATGGTGGTCTTGCACTGTCAATTGAAATAATCTCAAGACAAAAATAACAAATAACAAAAAATTGTTGCTGAGATGAGTGGTTCCTGCTTTTCTTTGAGGGAAGCAAGCTGTTTCAAGTTTGGGCAGAAGCTGAGGTGGTTTAAAGAGCAAAAAAACTTGACAGCACCATAACTTCTGGTTGTTCAATATTTTTTTTCTATCAAACTTTGAGTAGTGTGCAAGAATTACCCAAATATGCTGGTGTTAGCTGTCCTACTGCCAAGAATGACTGACAGAAGTCTCTATGCCTTATCAGGGATGAATTTAAATTATTTGCCTAGTAAAGTATTTACTCTATTTCCTTTTCAATACAGCAACTACACAAATGTGTACGCACCAATAATTGTTGACAGCGACTCTGAGCCGGATGAATATGTGATGCAGTTCCCTGAGCAAAGGTATTAATTAGAAATTAGTCTTCTTCTAAATCCTTTTGTGCTTTTTGTATTTTAAATAATTGTACACTTCATGTTTTATAGTACAGACAACGTGACTGCTGCAGACATCATTTCAGAGCTCTCTGCAATGATCACGTCATCATCTATCAGCCGCTTTAACATAAACAGAGCCAATGTATGGGATGGAGCACTGACAGGTTTCAAGCGGGCTTCTTTCAACCCTTTCAATGACATATTTGTAAAATTCACCGATGACGAGGGACAGGCAGAAGACGGCGTTGATAACAGTGGTCCCAAGCGCGAGTTTCTAAGCCTTTTAAGGAACTGCTTAAGGACTCGAAGTCTTTGATGGGCCAGAAGAAAGGAAATTTATCACTTTTGACAGTGAAGGTATTGCCGTTAAGGTATTTCAGAGTTTTTCTCATAAGAATGTGACAGCTGTTGGTGAATGTGTAATTAATGTAAACAAAATCTATACAGCAGCCAAAAATGATGAATATTTCATGGTTGGAAGGATGATTGCCACTTCTGTCGTTCATGGAGGTCCAGGTCCTCAATTCTAATCTGAGAAGCTCTACCAGCTCCTCACAGGAACATCAACAAATACAGAAGGAAAGATAGAAGACATCACCGACAACACCATGAGGGCTTCTTTGATTGAGGTAGGATAGCATTATTGATGAGGCTTAACAAGTTGTTACAATCAAGCAAAAATTTTGTTATTCCATAACTTCATGTAACATTAAGATCATTTGTATTTTGTGTTTGATACGATTCTATTGTGCAGAATAAATCTGATATTTTCTAAAAGGCACATGTTGTCATATTAAAGCACAAACAAGTACCTACGCTACCTTCACTTATGAGAATGCTATATGCATAAAAAAGACAAGCCACTTTATTAGGTACATCTCGTTAGTACCGGATTGTACACCCATTTGCCTTCTGAACTGCTTTAATCCGTAGTGGCATGGAGTCAACTAAATACTGGAAACATTCCTTAGATAGTCTGGTCCATCTTTACATGATGGCATCACATAGTTGCTGTAGATTTGTTGGCAGTACATCCATGATGCAAATCTCTCCTTCCACCACATCCCAAAGGTTTTCTATTGGATTGACATCTGGTGACCGTGCAGGCCATTTGAGTTCAGTGAACTCATTATGTTTAATAAACCAGTCTGAGATGATTCATGCTTTCTGACATGGCAAGTTCACGTGCTGGAATTAGCCATCTGAAGATGAAAACACTGTGGTCATGAAGTATTTTGCTTGGCAAAATACTCAGGTAGGCTTTGACGTTGACACGATGTATGATCAGTACCAATGGGCCAAAGTGCACTCCATAGCACCACCCTGAATCGTGGAAACATTGATACAAGCCAGATGGATCCATACTTTCATGTTGTCACCAAATTCTGACCCTCCCATCAAAATGTTGTTGCTGAAATTGAGACTCGTCAGACCAGGCGACGTTTTTCCAATCTTCTATTGTCCAATTTTGTTGATCCTGTGTGAATTGTTGCCTCAGCTTCCTGTTCTTAGCTGACAGGAATGGCATCCGGTGTGGTCTTCTGTTGCTATAGCACATCTGACTTAAGGTTTAACATGTTGTGTGTTCAGATGCTTTTCTCCATAACTCGGTTGTAACGAGTGGTTTCTTGAGTTATTGTTGCTGTTCTATGAGCTCAAATCTCTGGCCATTCTCCTCTGAACTCTGGCATCAGCAAGGCATTTGCGGCCACAGAACTGTTGCTCACTGGATATTTTGGTAACACTTTATTTGAAGGGGTTTGAATAAGACTGTCATGACACTTTCATAAACATGACATAACACCTGTCATGAACATTTTTAAGTCTTCATGAATGTTTATGACTGTTGTCATAATGCGTCATTCGGTAAATTATGACACTTTTAATACAAAGTTGACATTATTCAAAATGTCTTTATGACAACTTGACATTAACCAATAAATCATTACTGTTTAAACTTAATCTTTAATAACATAAACTTACCTAATTTTTAAAGTGCAATCAGTAATACTTTTATAACAAATTTATATCAGTAATGATTTCATAAATATTCATTTATGTTTTTGGTTATTGTTCTCTACCATATATATCCAGTGCAGGTACATTGACTGAACTACACCAGTCAGTTGAAAGACATGCAAGCATCTTGCAAACTGCTGGTTGCTTGCAGTTCCCTGTGACTGTTGATGACAAATTGAAACTTGTAAAGGAGTTTGTTGATTGGTACATCATTTACCGCAACCATTTCTCTATTCAAAGGTAATGTTTCTCTTCCTTAACTTAAGAAATAACTATGCTAATTTAGTTACTATTTTGTTGCATTTAATACAAGCAAATGTACAATAGTGCAAGAATCAATCAACAGCACCCAGCAGCCAAATAAGTAGGAGCCTTATTGATTGGACGGCTTAACTGGAGAAAATTAACGTTACTGTAGGTTAATTCACTGTGTACAGTGCATCAGCAATATCACCTATGCTAAATAAAAATAATAAAAAAAAGATTATACATATTAATGTTCTTTGTGTTACTGAAAAATATCAGCTCTTTTGATAATAATTAAGGTGATTTCTGTTTCAAACTTTTTATAGATACAAGGATGGACTTTCAACACTGAACTTCCTGAATGCTTTGGAGCAGCATGCTTCCGTCTTCAGGCCATTTATGTGTGCAAGAGTGGAACAGCTGACATCCAAAATATTGGAGGAAATATTTGAGGTTCAGCTCAGTGAAAAGGGTAGCAGCAGACGACATGAGGAAACAAGAGTGCTAGGATTCTGGAGATTCTTTATCCTTGACACAGAAGGTGGACTTTAAGATTTATTGTTATATTCTGGTGTTATTGTAATATCTGATACATAAACTCATTGCTTCTTTTCTAGAACAAAAAACGGGTCTCTCTCTCCAGGACATCCTGATGTTTGCCACCGGCTTGAACACACTACCTCCATCTTCAATTCTGCCACCACCAAAACTGATCTTTCAGGCCACTTCTCGTTTTCCTGTCAGTAGCATCTGCTCCAACACTATCAAAATACCAATGTCCAAGACGTATCAGTTTAAAGAAGACATGGACTTTGGGATTCAAAACTCCCCTGGGTTTGGGCTTTATTAAGGTCAAATGCATAACAACAAAACAAAATGCTAACTATTTAACTTGTCAAACCTGTTCAGTTATGACACTGTTTAGTGTTTGTGTGCGACCTTCAAATTTGGATTCTTGTTTGTTTATAAGTCCGCCATGTTTTTCAGTTTGATATAGTTTTCGACACATGATTCCCAACTCTGTGGATGTGCTAGGCCACACTGTCTCTGGAGGTTCTCAAAATGTGCCTGAAGGTGTTCATCTCCACATTGAATGTTGTTAGTCTCTGTCCCAAACTGTCCCAATTGCTCCTGGGAGACTGGGAAACCACAGTCTGTTCCACCAAACCTAGGAATAGAAGAGGCCCAGTAAACATTTAGTTATATTTACGTTTCTTCACTAAACTGTTACTGCTGTGACTGTTGTTGTAACCTGTCTAAATGATTAATGTTATTTAAATTTACATTTTAGAAATTGTCATCTGAAATTGTTAGAATAAAAAGTGACATACTGTTAACACATTGTTCATTATTTTTGTTTTGGCAAATTATTTTTTAGAGTTCCCAAAGAGGTTTTAAATTAACCAGATGTTGAAGACAAAAACAACAAAAATTACCTGTGAGGTAGGTGATACATCACATCTGGTTTACCAGATGGACAGCAAGATTGTTTAACAGGTCTTATGGTATGTTTATTCCACCTGTCCTTGCATTCATCAAGATCTCTTTGTAGCATATCCATGAAGACAAACCGCACAAAGCATGTGTGCTCATGACTTCCATTGAAGAGATGTCTTACCTTCAAATCGTTCATGAGATCCATCCAGAACTGAGATCTACAATAAACCAAAATTATAAGATAATTACATCAGCAGAAAGTAATAGGACTAGTTTCATGTCATGAAAATATTGAAATATATGTTGACCTACAAAGTTAAATATAATGTAAGCAGACATCAACTGTTATACTTTAAATGTTGAGCTTCTGATTCATCCATTTCAAATGTTACACTATAAAATTAAGTTGTATATAGCACAAAAACATCATGGTCATTAAGAGATATGCAAGTACTTTATTTCTTCTGACAAAGTAGAGGTAATCGAGTAAAATGTTGCATCAAAATTGTGAAATGTTTGTTTATTCAAGAAGACTACTAAATTTATTCACCTTTTCGAGGTCTACTACTTGGTATTTATACAAAAATTACAATAAACTGTTGACAAACTCACCTTTGTTTTCTGAAATATGACCACCAGCTTTCGATGCGTTGGTTGGCTGTTGAGGAGCCATACATATGGCTGGCAGCCCCAGCAAAATCATCAGTGTGTGATGACCTTAATGTACAATGCATTGCCACCATTGTTCCATTTTCAGTGCCACAGTCTGTGCGGAGGCGCATTGGTATCTTCCCAAATTCTGAGACACATTGCACATAGTTTTGAGCAATGACTCCAGGATCATTATTGCTGGCTTGACACACTAACCATAGCACCTTCCGATAATACCCATCTATGCAGCCACTTATTGCCAAGCCATAGGGCTTCAGTTTGTCATAACCATCTGCATGCCAGACATAGTTTGGGCCACAAGAACTATAAACTCTTCTTATAAATCTTCGTCTTGCACGCAGTTGTACTCCTGAGGGGTCAAGTTCTGCCATCAATGCCATGACATCGTCTCTTCTGACAGTCAGACAATACTTCTGTCGGAGTGTCTGCCACATCAAGCGATAGCCATAATGCTGGCCTGGTCCCTTTAGCTCTTCTTCAATAGCAGCACGTACCAAGTGAGGCGGTGTGTAACTTCTTTGTCTAAAGAGTGATCATTTTTTTTGTTTGCTCTTTAAGGAGCGAAGGCTCATTTCAACATTGTGAAGGTTTCCCAAGAAATCCAAAATTTCTGAATGACTACAGCCATCATAAAAATACTTTCTAATCAGGTCATCTTGTGAGAGGGTGTCCAGCTCAGATCCTGTGAAACAAAATAGAGCAGAATATCTACTTACTGCCCAACACCAGGGACATTAAGTTGGCACAGTAAAAATGTTACGCAATTCAAACAATGAAGTTCACACCAAAATAGAATCTGTGTAAAAACTGAGTAACATACAGTACAGTAAGGGCAAAAGTTCTGTGCTGTTATTAAAAGTAGCATATAAATAGTCTACTCTACAAAACTATGTGCAGTTAGGCATGATAATTTAAAAAAATATATTTTTTGAAAATAGAATAAAACCATATCTATTGAGATAAACAGCTGGGATATATACAGGGGTTGGACAATGAAACTGAAACACCTTGTTTTAGACCACAATACTTTATTAGCATGGTGTAGCTCCTTTTGCGGCCAATACAGCGTCAATTTGTCTTATGAATGACATATACAAGTCCTGCACAGTGGTCAGAGGTATTTTAAGCCATTCTTCTTGCAGGATAGTGGCCAGGTCACGACGTGATGCTGGTGGAGGAAAATGTTTCCTGACTCGCTCCTACAAAACACCCCAAAGTGGCTCAATAATATTTAGATCTGGTGACTGTGCAGGCCATGGGAGATGTTCAACTTCACTTTCATGTTCACCAAACCAATCTTTCACCAGTCTTGCTGTGTGTATTGGTGCATTGTCATCCTGATACACGGCACCTCCTTCAGGATACAATGTTTGAACCATTGGATGCACATGGTCCTCCAGAATGGTTCGGTAGTCCTTGGCAGTGACGTGCCCATCTAGCACAAGTATGGGGCCAAGGGAATGCCATGATATGGCAGCCCAAACCATCACTGATCCACCCCCATGCTTCTCTCTGGGCATGCAACAGTCTGGGTGGTACGCTTCTTTGGGGCTTCTCCACACCGTAACTCTCCCGGATGTGGGGAAAACAGTAAAGGCGGACTCTTCAGAGAACAATACATGTTTCACATTGTCCACATCCCAAGATTTGCACCATTGAAACCGACGTTTGGCATTGGCACGAGTGACCAAAGGTTTGGCTATTGCAGCCTGGCCGTGTATATTGACCCAGTGGAGCTCCCAACGGACAGTTTTGGTGGAAAAAGGAGAGTTGAGGTGCACATTTAAATCTGCTGTGATTTGGGCAGCCGTGGTTTTATGTTTTTTGGATACAATCCGGGTTAGCACCCGAACATCCCTTTCAGACAACTTCCTCTTGCGTCCACAGTTAATCCTGTTGGATGTGGTTCGTCCTTCTTGGTGGTATGCTGACATTACCCTGGATACCGTGGCTCTTGATACTTCACAAAGACTTGCTGTCTTGGTCACAGATGCACCAGCAGGACGTGCACCAACAATTGGTCCTCTTTTGAACTCTTGTATATCACCCATAATGTTGTGTGGATTGCAATATTTTGAGCAAAACTGTGCTCTTACCCTGCTAATTGGACCTTCACAGTCTGCTCTTATTGGTTCAATGTGCAATTAATGAAGATTGGCCACCAGGCTGGTCCAATTTAGCCATGAAACCTCCCACACTAAAATGAGAGGTGTTTCAGTTTCATTGTCCAACCCCTGTATATCAAAGTATCAAAGTGGGTTTCGAAAAGGGAGGAGCACTAATGATCCAACGTTATGTTTAGAACATGAAGTTAGAAGAGCACAAGTAAATAAAGAAAGTGTGGTGGCAGTATTTTTTGATATAGAAGAAGCATACGATATGATGTGGGTAGAGGGATTATTGATTAAACTATATATGTTGGGTATTAAAGGAAAATTATTTAAATGGATTAAAGACTTTTTAACAAATAGAAAAATACAAGTCAGAATAGGGGAAGTGTATTCAGAAAAATATAAGGTAGAAAATGGAACTCCGCAAGGAAGTATTATAAGTCCTTTATTGTTCTTAATTATGATAAATGATGTGTTTAATGGTATTGGAAAAGAAATAGGATGTTCATTATTTGCAGATGATGGAGCGGTCTGGAAAAGAGGGAAAAATATAGATCATATTGTAAAGAAAGTACAAAAGGTAATCATAGAAATAGAAAAATGGGCGTTACAATGGGGATTCAAGTTTTCAGTTGAAAAAACAAAAGTAATGATATTCACAAAAAGAATAAACAAGGAAATAAAATTAAAATTATATAATCAAAAACTAGAACAAGTAAAATGTATAAAATTTTTAGGAATATGGTTTGATGAAAAACTAAAATGGAATATACATATTCAAAAAGTGGTTGATAAGTGTAAAAAAATCTTAAATATTTTAAGATGCTTGGCTGGCAGTGATTGGGGAGCAGATAGAAAATCAATGAAGCAGCTTTATAATGGAATATTATAAATATATTCAAATTTATACAGATGCGTCAAAAATAAATGGGAAGATAGGAGTAGCTTTTGTGGTGCCAGAATTCGATGTAAAAATAGGAAAACGGAGCACAGATGGGTTATCAGTATACACAGGAGAAATGTTGGAAATATTGTTAGCATTGCAATGGGTGGAAGAAATAAAACCATTAAAAACAGTGATATGTTCAGATTCAAGCTCAGCATTATTAAGTTTAAAACATTTTCAATCAGATAGTAGGATGGATATATTAATAGAAATATTTTATACATTGTATAGAATACAGAATATGGGGCTGGTAGTTATATTTGTATGGATTCCAGCACATATAGGGATAGAAGGAAATGAGAGGGCAGATAAAATGGCAAAAAGGGCAATTCATAATAATATTAGTTTTAAAGTTAAAACAAGTAAAGCTGAGGGAAAGAGTATGGTTAAAGAAAAACTGATGGAAAAATGGCAAAAAAGGTGGGATGAAGAAAAAACAGGAAGATGGTTTTATAAAATACAAAAGATAGTAGGAGAGAAAAGAAATGAAAGAAGAAATAGAAAGGAGGGAAGGGTAATAACAAGATTAAGATTAGGGCATACAGGTCTTAATTATACACTATTTAAAATACAAAAGCATAATAATGGAAAGTGTGATTATTGTGATAGATATGAAACGATAGAACATGTTATGTTAGAATGCCATAAGTATGAAAGAGAAAGGTGTATGAAAGGAGAGTTTGAATGTATTAAGGAAAAGATAAATTTGATAGATATTTTGAGGAAGAATTCGGGGAGTAAGCATGTAAAGATAATTATGGGATATTTAAAGAAAACTAAATTATTTCAAAGAATATGATTAAAATAGGTGTGTGTGTGAATGGGTGCATGAACTAGGGGGGTGGTCCATAACGAACCACACTCCATACCAGCAGGTGGCGGTAATGCTGCTTAAAGCTTGTTGCAAACCGCCAATAAAATCAACAAGAAGAAGAAGAAGAACTCGTTGCCAGAACGTATCGAACCTAGAGTGAGTACTTCCAGAATTATATTGTCCTGTCTGCCTGATCTTCGACCTGCCTTCCGTCTGCCTGTTTTCCAAGCCTGCCTGACCCCCGCCTGATCCGTCCGTTCAACTCCTGAGCCTGCCTGTCCCTCGCCTGTACCGTCTGCCTGATCCTGACTGCTTGCCCGTGTATGACCCCGCCTGCTTGCGACCTCGAGACCCCGCCTGCTCCCTTGGACTGCTTCCCTGGTACTGACCCCTGGACCGGCCCCGACCGCCTCCTTGGATTATCCCTGTGTCCTTCGCTGGACTATTGGATCACCCGGTACC